ACAAAAACATACAATATGTTAGATAGTAACATAATACACAAAACATACAATATGTTAGATAGTAACATAATGCACAAAACATACAATATGTTAGATAGTAACATAATACGCAAAACATACAATATGTTAGATAGTAATATAACACACAAAACATACACAGTAACATAACACACAAAACATACAATATGTTAGATAGTAACATAATACACAAAACATACAAATATGTTACATAGTAACAAAATACACAAAACATACAATATTATGTTACATAGTAACATAATACACAAAACATACAAATATGTTACATAGTAACATAATACACAAAACATACAATATTATGTTAATAATAAAATAACAAACAATATATTAGATAGTAACATAATACACAACACATACAATATGTTATATAGTAACATAATACACAAAACAAACGATATGTTAGATAGTAACTTAATACACAAAACATACAATATGTTACATAGTAACATAACATACAAAACAAACAATATGTAAGATAGTAACATAACACACAAAACATACAATATTATGTTACATAGAGTAACATAACACACAAAAAATACAATATTATGTTACATAGTAAAATAACACACAAAACAAACAATATGTTAGATAGTAACATAATACACAAAACATAAAATATGTTAAATAGTAACATAATACACAAAACATACAATATTATGTTACATAAAGTAACATAACACACAAACATACAATATTATGTTAGATAGTAAAATAACACACAAAACAAACAATATGTTAGATAGTAACATAATACACAAAACATACAATATTATGCTACATAGTAACATAACACACAAAACATACAATATTATGTTACATAGTAACATAATACACATAACATACAATATTATGTTACATAGTAAAATAACACACAAAACATACAATATATTACATAGTGACATAACAGACAAAACATACAATATATTACATAGTAACATAACACGCAAAACATACAATATTATGTTACATAGTAACATAATACACAAAACATACAATATATTACATAGTGACATAACACACAAAACATACATAAAGTTACAGTACACACAAAACATACACGAAGTTACAGTATACACAAAACATATAATATGTTACCACCAGTTGCTATATTAAATGAAACAATTAATCTGTTACTTAGTAACTAGGTAACACATTAAAGTTTCTAAGAATAGCATACCATTACGTTAACATAACTCAACAATCAACATAGCACATAAAATACTATTATTCGTATTTGTTTCGGTTTGTGCATTTTCTACATTACATTTGAATCTGTTTCAATTCTTTTGATTGAGTGTTCACCTTGATAAAAGTTCGTGGGTGAACTTATGTTGAATACTATAGAAGTAGTATTAGACTGACTTCTGATAGTTTATATTTAAATTAAATTAATTATAATGACATCATTGATATCTTGATACTTTCTGGCAATCATAATAGCACCATAAAGGGGTATTTTCACCTCAATACGTGAAATTTTGTTAGTTTCTGAACCTCGTCTCTTCCCAAATAAACACCAATGATACTGTGATATCATCCATTCAAGTGGTAAATCGTTTAGTTAGAACGAACAGTGGCGACATTGGGGAATCATTTGAGGTATGTCGGATTTCTTCGTCTCAGATAACAATGTTTCCATGCTTTGTCAATTTATGTCCGTTAAATTCTTCCCGGAAATTCTGGAACGCTAGGACAGTCGGATGCACCTGCATCGTCTGATTGGAATACATTATTTTGATGTTGTATGAGCGAATACAGTTGCATTGCTTCGGAGTTCTCCAATGGTCTGAACGATTCACTGTTCTCACCATCCGTGTCCATGGCTTCTTCTTGCCGCCTGACTTCCTCGTCTAATTGGGGATCGTGGTACTCTTCTTTTTGTTGTTTTTTATATTCGTCCATATTTTCCTGAACTGTCGCTGTGTTAACCCCCTCCAAATTCACGCCATTCATATAAGCCTTCACCTTGGTTTTAAACTCCTCCAGCGTAGGAGTACCAAAGCTCTCATTCAAAGGATCGTCGAGATCAGGATTATATAAGAGGTACAAAAGAGCTGCCACTATACCAATTAAACCCAGTTGTTCACGTCCTTCGTCGGCTAAGTTAAAACACACATTGTTCTGACCATATATAATGCTGGAAGTGTCAATGTTTGGATGGTAAATTGGTGTCATGCAAGTTATTGCTTCTGCGTCTGCTATCCAAAAGTTATGGTGTATTTGAATCTGCAAACAGAAAGAAAGTATTCAAAATTGGGGTATTGGTTCATCACGGTATTTATCGTCCACATATCACGATATTCATTATCAATATATCACACTATTTATCATCAATATATCACACTATTTATCATCAATATATCACACTATTTGTCATCAATATATCACGATATTTGTCATAAATACATCGCGATGTCCATCATCAATATATCACACTATTTATCATCAATATATCACACTATTTATCATCAATATATCACACTATTAAATTTAATATATACGATTTTTATCATCAATATCTCACGATATTCATCGTCAATATATCACGATATTTATCATCGATACATCACGATATTTATCACCAATATATCATGATATTCATCATCAATACATCACGATGTTCATCATCAATACATCACGATATTCATCATCAATATATCACGATATTTATCATCGATATGGCACGATATTTTTCACCATTATATCAAAAACCAGAATATACTTTGGTATAACAAAGTACATAACGTTTCAACACAACTTACACGTGTAGCCATCAGATGAAAAACGACACATGTAAGTTGTAATATATCAAGATAAGGGAATATTTTGCGATACATCTTAAGGGAGTAATGTGACTTTCGTACAATTTTATCTCTTTTCAATACTATTTACATAATTCAAGGCACACATCAACATCCGAATATACCAATTGTACGACTTAAAATGTTGTTAGGCGTGTATATAACACATGAATAGCTAAAAATAACTTACTATAAATAGAAACGTTCCTCCTTTATAAAATCCATCTGTTGGAGACAGTTCCAAATATATGTCTATTGTACTTTTAGGATGTTCAAATTTGACCAATTTGGCTTGACCCTGACTGATACTGTCTAAATTTTTCATGAGATGGCGAATTTCTCTGAGGGCTGACATATTTAGTTCTGTTTTTGTTTATTTGTATAATGCGAAACATTTAGGTATGTAAGTAGCCTAGATGATAAGTAACCGTTCGCTTACAGCAAGAAACGTTTATCAAGTCCTTTCCTATAAATTATAAACTAATTCAAATGACGTAGTGACGTCTCGAATAACCAGACGGTAATTGCTGTTGTTTGTAAGATACTAGTCTGGATGATCGATTTTTTTTTATCTTATATAGTCAGGTATATTCAGCGTGATATATAACATTTGCTTCGCGGATACAATAGAATTGCTTCTCCGAATTAATGTCTTGCAAATGTCGGAATCAAAATTCTTAGCTCAATTTCCCTCTGTAAAATCATATATCTAAATGATTTCTTCAGTGCTTCGAAATTTCGTCAACTGAAATGTACGCTAAGACCCTAAACATACTGTTTATATATATAAATAATATATAATATGATAATACAATTCATATAGAATATAATTGACAAAGCTTGATTCAGAAATTGGGCGATAACTGTTGACTTGAGCAAACAATTTAAGAATTTGTACAAATTACACAAAATGTTACAGAGCCAAAGGCAACCGCCCCTCCTCGCAGCCCCGAAAGCAAGTTTTTCGGGCAAAAATATCATAACTAGGTTAGAAATTCGGGCATTCTCAATTGAAGAAACATAATAAGACAAGAACGTTTATTGTATAGATTTATTTGTATGTCAGATGATAGTATACAAATCTCACATAATGTTACTTAGTAACGTACAATTTCAATATCATGAATCACACAGCAATGAAATGTTAAACCACATTGTCGTCTGCTAGACAATTAGGTGTGGTAGGTTCGAATTTTCCTCATGGTAAAATAATTCTGAAGCCACGGGCAATGCCTTTGAAAGAACAGTTACAAAACATACAAAAATTGAAGTAATAATTTGTTACTTAACATAATTTAAAATTGAATTACATAACATTATATAACATAATACTGTTATAACACAATTCTATTACACATATCTATTGTGTTAAACACTCTATCCGTTTTGTATGTGATGTTACAATTCATTTGAATCTGTTTCCTATAGGAGTCGTATTAGACTGACTTCTGGTAGTTTATATTTGAATTAAATTAACATGACATCCTTGACGTCTTGAAACTTTCTGGCAATCAGAATAGCACCTAAAGGGGTCTTTTCACCTAACGACGTTAAATTTTGTTACTTTCTGAACCTCGTCTCTTCCCAAATAAACACCAATGATACTGTGATATCACCCATTCAAGTGGTAAATCGTTTAGTTAGAAGGAACAATGGCGATATTGGGGAATCATTTGAGGTATGTCGTATTTCTTCATCTCTGATCACAGTGGTTCCATGCTTTGTCAATTTATAACCCTGAAATTCTTCCCTGAAATTCTCCGGCACACTAAATGGAGTTATTTCCCCTTGACTAGAACAGTCGGAAGCACCAGCATCGTCTGATTGGACTATACTATTTTGATGTTGTATCAGCGAATACAGTTGCATTGCATCCGAGTTCTCCAATGGTCTGAACGATTCACTGTTCTCATCATCCGTGTCCATAGCTTCTTCTTGTCGCCTGACTTCCTCGTCTAATTTTGGATCATGGTACTCGTCTTGTTCTTGTTTCCTGTACTGGTCCATGTTTTCCTGAACTGTCGCCGTACTAAACCCCTCCAAATTCACACCATTCATATAAGCCTTCACTTTAGTTTTAAACTCCTCCAGTGTAGGATTGCCGAAGTCGACCCACAGAGGATCTTCGAGTTCAGGATTATATAAGAGGTACAAGAGACCTGCCACTATACCAGTCAAACCAAGACTTTCCCGTCCTTTTTTGTCTACGTTCAAACACACATTGTTCAGACCATAAGTAAGATTCTGTGAACTGTCAATGTTTGGATGGTAAATTGGTGTCATGCAAGTGATTGCTTCTGTGTCGGTTATCGGAAAGTTTGGATGAATCTGAATCTGCAAACAGAAAGAAAGTGTTCTGATAAGGAAGGGGATGGTTCAAAAGATATCAAAAACCAGCAAAGGTTGTATAGAAAGCGAAATTCCTCGTTTGAGATATATTTCAATAGAGTGCGAATTTGCTACAGATCAATTACCATTATATATTTTAGGCCCAATTCAAACCCTGAAAATTCAGCTTGTTTGACTATATAAATGTGTAAGATACTGGTACTTGTGTTTCTAAAAATAACTTACTATAAATAGAAACGTTCCTCCTTTATAAAATCCATCTGTTGGAGACAGTTCCAAATATATGTCTATTGTACTTTTAGGATGTTCAAATTTAACCAATTTGGCTTGACCATTACTGATACTGGCCAAATTTTTCATGAGATGATGAATTTCTCTTAGGGCTGACATATTTGTTTCTGCTTTCGTTTATTCATATATTGTGTGACAAATATGAGTACTCTCTTTTTATATAAAATATCATGTGACGTAGAAATGTCTAGAATAACCAGACGGACAATGCGACTGTTTGTAACATATCAGTCTGGATGATCAAGAATTTATTCTTTTTTAAGATATTCCGCGAAGCGAATTTACTTCGCGGATTACGTTAGATTTACTTCGCGGATGATATATATGTTTACTTCGCGGAAATACATATTTTCTTTATTGACATATTAGCAAAGTTATTATCTAACCATACACTATCATTAAGTTATATAGCAATAGATCGTGTCTTTGTACTGAAGAATATTCCAGATGTTGACTTTTCACTACTTTTGCTTACTTTGTTCATAACTATATGCCTTTTTGTACTTCCGAAGCAGCTGTCCTGATGAAGATTTTATAACTGAAACACATATCAGAAGTCTCAGTAACATTGATATCTTGTAAATCTAGATTCTATAGTCTTTGAACTGTAGAATATTCTCGTTGTCACACTCCTGTTTTATTAGTTTACTTACTTTGTTTATACGACTCTATATAAGTCTATATAAGGAATTCTATTATGTCAAAATCATTCTGATCCAAAAATCCAAGATGGCGAAAATCCAATATGGCGTCCAAGATGGCGGCAAAAATATATTTTTCGCCATAAATTGGGGGATTCTATTCATACATGTCTTATAATATGTCTTATATAGAGTTTTCGGGGTCAAGGAATCTAAATATGTCTAAATGAATTTGATCCGAAAATCCAATAATGCCGTTAGTCTAATATAACAGACGTATGGCCAACAATTGAACGCTCATCTACATCACCACGCATCCTTGATATCCAGGACCAAAATCTGCTGGCTGAAAAATCCAAAACTGTTGAACTGCTACGTAAAACTGAGAGGTTGTCCAACTAGGCCTGTTGATGTTGGGTGAAATCCAGTCAAAAAACTATCATTGGCGCAAACCTGGTGCGTTTCACCATGCCAGGTGGATGAGTCATCTGTTATATGTTCCTAAAATGCTCGCCGTCAGTGAGCAATATGGATACGACGAAGTTTACATTAAAAAGTTAGAAACTTTTGTATTATACACTTTCCTTTCCGGAACCTCGAGAATTTATTCTCGGTAGGCCACAATTACCCATGATTGGTGCTGATTCTATCCTCTCGGACTTTGTCGGACCTAATTCATGGCTCTTGTTTCATTTGGTTGGGAAATTGGACACAGCAAAATGGATGGCAGCAAATCCAGCTACGACATGGAAAACGAACGACTCTTTCAAGGAGATGAAGGTTGTCCTCAAAGCACTCAAAGTTGTGAATGATCCTGCAGAGCGTGCTATCAAACTATGTTCTGATTTCCTAAACATGACCAGTGATGAATAGAATCGCCAAGACTTATACCAAGTCGTGGAGGACCATCGACATTGAGTCACATGTAGAACAAAGCTAGAATTATTCAAAATGTAATTTGTAATGACTGATAACTGATATGTAATATGTATTTTTAAGTGAGTGTGTGTTTAACTTCGAGTGAGTTATGTATAAATAAAGAAATCACATATGAAATTCAGGTTAAATTTGAATGTGTAAGTAGATATCCAACTTGATCGTACTATGGTTATTAAATGTATTTCATACGGTGAATTTAGTAAACAAATTGTTTGAGTTTTGTGCAAAATGACGTCAATTTGACAGCAAAATTGTACCCCTGCCTTAATGGATATTTTGGATCTTAATTTTTGGATTCCTTGACCCCGAAATCTTAATATTTGGATTCCTTGACCCCGAAAACCCTATAAAGGACATATTACAAAGCGTGTACGAGTATAATCATTTAATTACTGGAAAATGTAGATTTTTGACGACATTTTTGCCTCCATTTTGAAAATGGCCGATGGCACCCCTAGGGCAACTTTCGATTTCGTTCAAAATTCATATATAAACTTCATACATGAAGTCTCATAAAATATCAAACTTATCTGCAGCTCTGCCAAATAAAGTATTTTCAGTGGCACCCTATTGGTTATTAACTAGCTGTCCTGATAAATATTTCATATCCGAAACACATGCAGACACCACGAAATGATCTCGAGTCTAACAGTAAATTAAAAAAAACATGGGTTTTATAATGTTAAAAAGTATTCCAGTTTTAACATTTTATAAAAATGTTACCTAGTAACAAAATACTTACATAACAAATGTCAAATGTCAAAATATTTTGTCAAGTAACATGAAATGTGACAGTTTATAAAAATGTTACATGGTAACATTAAGTGCTGTAGAAGATGTTATAAAGTAACATTGAATTTGATAAAAATATTTTTTAGATATATAAAAATATTACATAGTAGCACAGTTAGTATATAATAAGACAAGTACTCTATAAGGTAACTTATAGAATTATAATAATGTTACACAGTAACTAAATTAAAGGACAAATACTGTATAAAGTAACATAGGATTTTATAGCATATACTAATGTTACATAGTAACTAAATTAAAGGACAAATACTTTATAAAGTAACATAGGATGTTATAGCATATACTAATGTTACATAGTAACTAAATTAAAGGACAAATACTTTATAAAGTAACATAGGATTTTATAGCATATACTAATGTTACATAGTAACTAAATTAAAGGACAAATACTTTATAAAGTAACATAGGATTTTATAGCATATACTAATGTTACATAGTAACTAAATTAAAGGACAAATACTTTATAAAGTAACATAGGATTTTATAGCATATACTAATGTTACATAGTAACTAAATTAAAGGACAAATACTTCATAAAGTAACATAGAATTTTATAGCATAATAATAATGTTACATAGTAACTAAATTAAAGGACAAATACTTTATTTGTAAGGGCCGTATGCAGGAATTAAAGGGATTTTAAAGAAGTTTTCTATTTCTTTTAATGCGTATCGAGGACACTGATAGCATCAATTTGCTCCATTCCAATTATCAATCAGACGTCTGTGGTTCCTGCAATTCCACTAAAACTTTGTTTTATGACGTCACCCCTGCAAAGCTCTTAAATGATAGGCCCTACATGCAAATTTAGGGGGTGATGTCATAAAACACTTCGTTTGAATAAATTTGAAAAGTTGATAACTTTAGACTAAGAAGTTAGTTTAAAACAGTTGATGCTTCAAAATGCTATTTATACCTGAAAATATTACATCATTGACGACTGATTTTTGGGGTATTCGCCATCATCGTTTAGAGATGGGCTTCCTTATTTTTAGGAGTCAAATTAAGCAAACTATTTGATTAATTTTTGTATCTAATGAATTATTATGTATTCGCAACCATATCATTATGTTCTTATTGCATATAATTAAGAGTTTTAACCAATCATAAATGTCCATGTATGCATAGTCTGGATAAACAAAAAAAGACTTTTTGACCTTTCTTGATCGGTCACTCATTGGAATTCTGCTGGTAATTCTCTTCATCATGTCTCTTTATCAATAAATAGATGGAACCGTAAGTTACTTTATCCAAATATCTTAGTATGGGGCCGTCAATTTTAAATCAAACGACGAATTTCGTAGGTTCTGTTTATTGAAGTGTATTGATTGGCTGGTTTGAAAATCATGTGACAATATTATATTTATACCTCAGCTCCTTATCGGAATGGAATCAAAGTGAATGTTTCAGTTAATCACCTTAAAGGAATCCGATCCTGTAAGTTCATAATTTATCTTTTTGTAATCTAAGAGATTTTTAATCCTCGTCTCGTGAATCATGTCATAAAGTTCTTGGATGCTTTTCCAGACTGGACTTACATTAGCCATTTTAGCCAGCTGGTCTGAATAGTCCCATTGACGTGGACCCATAAAATGAGCATGACGTCGAGCTAGACCTTCACACATTCTCGCTTTAAAATCTTCTTCTGTGTCAGCATCCATTTCCTCCCGCGACGGCAGCTTTAAGGATCCGTCCAAAACCGACAACGCAAACTGTGTTTGAATGTGGAATGAAGGAAACGGGCAAATAATTTTGCATAATCCAATAAATGATAAGCTAGGAAACTGCGTATGGATGAGATGTTTGAAAAGGGGCGTCACTCTTTCGTCTTCGTCGATGTTCAAATTGCAGTCCTCAGTAAGAAATGGATATACGAAGCGATATCCAGTACAATACAACACTATATCAGCCTTTACACTGGAACCATCCCGAAAATTCACGCTATCTTTCTCCAATGACCGGATACCCGGCTTCTGAGAAACGTTCGCTGGAATTGGTGAAGTAAGAAATGGTTTGTTGTGACTCAAAACAACCTGAAACATATCATTCACAAAACCATGAAACCATGCACCATGGACCAAAAGCCATCAGAATAAAAATATAAGAAAGCGATACATGAATTAACGTCTCAGTGTTAACCTGATGTTATCGAAAGGAAGTTCTCAAACGGAGCGCCCAATAATGTCATGATGATAAATAGATTATCCGTACAGCTGGATCAACTGGAATACTGAGGAAATATAACTTGTTCAAGGTCTTTCACACAGCTACTAACATAGAACCCACGACCACAATATGTTCGACTAACCAGGAAATGATACCATGTAATGATTCACATACCATAATTCAATGTACATGTCCTACACCCCGTCCTCAATGTGAAGTAAAGAGCAAAGAAAGCAAGAATGTGGTGCACCAATTCCAAATACCCTTTTGGCCTTCAGTTTTAATTATTCACCTAGCAAATGACGTCATGTAATGATTTCAACAATCTGACCGATTTTACTATAGCCCGTCCCAATATGAAGTAAAGAGCACGGAATGTATCAAATCCATATAGGCCTACCTGTTTGGCTTTTGAGCTAATATCTATAGCAATATCCACACCAGAAGCTCCAGCACCAAGACAGACAACTGTTTTATTGGCATATCTTGAAGGATCTCTGTAATCGTGGCTGTGTACCTGTTCTCCTTCAAAACTATTCATTCCTGGAAGCTTCGGCATCAATGGTACGGAATAGTGTCTGATATAATTGAAACAATGAAAGACTATGAAAAAACCTCATTTTTGTCAAAGATAACAAAGATCATGTAAGGGGTATTAGACAGGAAAAGGTTGAAAATCCCTGATATTTCCCATAACGTTTTGAATTGAATTTTTTGAGCGCACTTACCCACTGCAAACTACAACTCCGTCAAATTTTTGAGTTGTTTTTTCTTGCGAGTTGTTGACATCACGATAAGTCAATTCCCAGGTTACGTCGTTTGTGCCGTTCTCCTGTATCGGGGTCAATCTTTCCACCAATGTTTTTGACTAAAAAGAGAACAGAAAAAATCTTCTGTGAAACGGTTCAGGTTGTCCGCATCGAGGTAAGGACAGAAACGGGGGAAAAATTCTTGAAAACTTTATAGATTTGTAGTTCTGTCTAAAATGTGAAATCGCAAGCCCCCAAAATTCATTTGAATGACCATACGAACCCACGTGACTGACCTTTCAGAAAGATACCGCGGACACAATTAAACGTCATATGAAAGGCGCAGTTATACAAAACCAAACGTTTTGTCTATTTACTGTACAATGTATTTGAATGCCATAATTCACACGGTTTGGCTTCATTCAGAGGATTCAACTGTGTACAGACAGAGTGGAATTGTAATAGTGCAAATCAGCGTCCCTTATACACTACATTAAACCCATTTACATCTCATTTTTAATTAAATTATTTACATTTCAAGTAAAGAGATCATGGTATGGCATAATGGGATTTAATATCGAATGAACAAGAGTATCTTAAAAGAAAATTTAAGTTGGGAACGGAGAGTATTGCTTTGAATAGGACCTATTATTAAAATGATCTTCAAGAATAAATGCCTGCCACGAGCACAGAACCATCAACTAACAAATGTTAATATTATAAGTTTTATAAAGTAACCCCGAGTGTAGAAGTCTTTACGATTAATGAAGGTTTCCGGACAAAACAATTACGGAATGTATAAAATAAAAAAAAAAACAATTATTTTTTACAAGGATAATAACTAAGCTTCACAAAGATTCTACTAGCTGACCTCTGGCCAAATATTTTGGTCATAATCCTCCTTTTTGTGTCCATAAAACAATAATAAATATGTACCACACTGCCCCACCCCATATTTATAAAATTCAAACATAAACAACGAAATAAAATTAATGATTTTAAAAAATAAATACAAATTATCAAATCTGCTAAAAAAAAAATTTCCAATCCCTCAAACACAAAAATTTGTTTTTTTGAAAAAGAAGACCCAAATTCCTGAAGTGCCTGAAAGTCAGAGAAGACAGGCGCCATTGTGACCTACTTTTATGTAAGGTTCCAAGTTGAAATGCTCAGTGTACTTCTGTAGATATTTCATGACCTCCAGGTGACTGATAAAGGACGGCAAGGTGGAGTCGAAAGGAAAATCTGGAAAAGCCATGACTTCCTTCGGTAGGTTGGTTCTGTAATAAGGCGATGATTTAGTACGAGGGGATAACCTCCCCTTAAAGAAGCAAAATGTACAAAACATACAGAAATATGGAAATTCAATTTCATCCATTCATTCATTGTAATTATTCAATTCATTTTCTTTTCTTTCATTCAAAATACTTTACTCGTGAATTCAAAATATATATTTTGATCATTTAATAGTGCATTTGAAAAATTCATTCATTCATTCATTCATTCATTCATTCATTCATTCATTCATTCATTCATTCATTCATTCATTCATTCATTCATTCATTCATTCAAATATCCTATTTAACAATATAAGGACAATTAACAAGAATTATGTCAGTAAGTTGATAACATATAGAAGTGGTATGAAACTGTAAATTTCCCCTGATCATGCGATACACCAGTATTCGGGGAAATTTCCCCGACTTCTGCAGCACGCTATATCAAAGGTGAACTTTGGCGGTTCTGACTTAAAGTGCGTCTTTGTATTGATCGGAGTAAAAATAGCACGTAGTATGTGAAATATGTAGATGAAGACCATAATATTACCGATTTTGATTACATACACAAATATTATTTTGGTCTATCTATGATTTATTTAAAGGGATGGGTTAACCATCTGTTTAACCAATTGTATCTTAATCTGGGTTAGCATAAAGCAGTCAGTAATATTTTTCACGGCTCAGCATCGAAGTTTGGGCCCTGAAATCCATGTATGAAGACTAGTGACATATATTCAAGAACCGAATCAAATTACTGTTAAAAGCATTGCATCTATTAACATACACATTGACATTTTAAAGAAATAAGTTCGCCATTTTGGAAAATGCACGAATAATCGGATAATTCCTCCAAAAATATCTGACTATTTCCTATTTCTATAGATGTCTTTTAAACAAAGACAACTCCTTTTTTGAACTTTCAATCGCGGATAATTGTGGACATACATAGATTTGAAGGCTCAAATTTCGACAGTGAGATTTGAACACTACTACTTATTAGCTTAGCTAAAAAATTCCCGTTTTTGAGACTAAAGTATGATTGGTTAAAAATGGCGGATGTCTATTTAAGGGATAGAACGAACTCAATTTCAGGTTTCAGTTATCCCTTTCTTTTACTTGTATACTCATCCAAGTTTCGTGTTCATAATTACAAAACAAAACGTAAAGATGGCTACGTGCACAACGAAACAAACGTAGGTTCACGGAGATCCTTGGCTAAACCACCTGGCATGGATCTTTCCCAGATTACCCGTACCCATTTACAGCTGGGTCAACTGGAATAATGAGGAAAGATGCAAGGTCACAAGACACCATACACAGACAAACGCAAAATACGATTTGTTCGGGCGTGATAGAAGGATGATTGGTATATGGCATGATCACTATAAATATACAGAAAATCTAGTTTCTACCGGTAAAAAATGTGATGAGATAACATCGTATCTTTCACAAGATAAATTTAGTTATCTATTGGAAAACAATATAAATGTACCGGAGGTTAATGTCCTACATATCTGCACCTGCTAAGTAGGTCGTACAATGCCATGCAGTAATGAGATAATTGTCGAAGGATCTTTAACTTTCAGCTCACAAAGCCGCAGTCCATTCCAACAACTAGTCGTACTTTGCATAACTGATTTGATCTGGGGGTGGGGGTCACTGGATAATAAGTGATGAAAAAGTATAATCGAATAGACAAAACAAAAGCGCACAATCTATCAAAGACGACCCACTCGCACACTGTACAAGTACGCACACCTCACAAACCTAAAACAAATACACCATCATCAATGGGGGCCTAGGGTAAATAACAAGGTAAAAAAATAAATTCATAAAAATAATAATGTAAAGAAGAAACGTTACACTTACTTGAGATTGCGATACATGCTGGAATGGATTGGCTGCCCATTTTTATCTATTCCTGTTCGATCCGTATATACCCACGTTCCTCCAACACGTTCTCCTAATTCAAACGCAACCGGTTGAAAAACAGAGGGTTTGGCTCTCATGTGCCTTAACGCACATAACCCCGCAGCTCCTGCACCAATTACAGCCACGCGTACCATTTTTCTGACGTTTTCTGGACCTGTCTGATGGACGATTTTTCGTGGAATGCCGACGAGACTTTACTCAGTTCGATTTTTATTCTTCCGTTTTTTATTGTACAGGCGGCTGTAGGTTAACCACCCTTTACACATGTATTGGTATTAATACTGCACCGTATGATTTACATGGATAAATTTTTGCCCATCTCAGAGAGTGCTTAGTTGAAGGTTCTTCCTCCACAAACATGCCTCGAGGCAAGGTTATTTTTTGACCCATTTCAGTGTTTATTCTCAAGGTTAGTCGAGAAATTTGCACCTCATTAAAGGGATAGAAGGAGGTTTTGAAACTTTTAAAATGTATCCAGTTTGTGGTTATTGCAATTCCACTAAAACTACAGTGGCTCAACTTTTTGTGTAGGTGCCCTTGGACTTAAGTAATTGCTACTCCCCCGGGGAATTTTGTGAAAGAGGCATTCTGCTTTTTTTTAGGTCGAAAATGTATTTTGCTCAAATTTGTGAAAACTATATACCAAAATCTAGAGAAATATGTCCCTTAACATATCTGAAAGTTTTAGCTCAAAAATTCCGGCCGCTAAATTTTTAACGCCAAAACTATTTAAAAATTTTACGTAAACTTTTAAGATTCTTTATACTTTTGGAAGCTGTTAAAAACTAGCCTACAGTACAGATTTAAGTAAAATAAACTATAGAGAAATATGTCTCCTACGTATTCCAAATTTTTCAACTAATAATATTCAGCTATTATAAAGCCAACACCAGAACAAAATGTCAAAATGTGCTCTCCTGCAATCTACGACCACATTTTAAGTCAATTTAATGCCCGTTAATGACCTGCTGGAGTAGTCGGAGGATTAAAGACATCTCTACAGTAAAAGTCTTAGTTATTTTCATGTTCGCAATCATAGTTGACACAGGGCCCAATTTTCTTAAATAATATCACCCTTGGTTGAGGGGCCCCAGCAAAAGTTGTGAACTTGTGTGTTAACCTTTTAGTATCTTACTTTAGTACATCTGTTTTTAATAAAGGATAGTGGCACGCTTAGGGATGGGAGTCTCTAGACTTGGTAAAACTTGTAAAACTAAGCGTTTATGTCGTTACTGTCGCGAAAGCTGCCAATGATAGTTTAAATTTAGAGGATGAGATGTTGTATGTGATGGAATATTTATATTACGTTGGCTATGTCGAACAATCGGTATGTTACAGTCTGGTGACATCATTACTGATTAGCTTAGCTAAACAATTCCCGTTTCTCAGACTAAGATGCACTTTAAAGGAATGGAGAACTTGTCCCTTTAAGTCATATGATTAACATGAACTTTACTTAAAGGGACATTCCGTCTTTTTGTAAAATGTTTTCATAATCAAAAACGTTGTAAATTATACCTGAAAGTATTTCCTAAATATGCCATTTATATTTATGTATCTTGTTGATCAAACCGAATTTGTTTTAAAACGATTAATTGAAAACAGAGAGTACTAATTGTTAATTAAGCAGTTTGACCTAGTTTTTTGTTTACATTTAGTTTATATTTTTCTAAAATTAGGCGTTTATGTCTCAAATCCGTACAGTAGTTTTCTAACAGCTTGCAAAAAGCATAATGAACCTAAAAATCTTACGTAATGTTTTTAAATATTTTTGGCGTTTGAAATTAACGGTTGGATATTTTTAGTTCAAACTTCTATATACGTTAAAGGGCACATTTCTCTAGATTTTGGTGTATAGTTTTCTCAAATTTTAGTCAAAAAAAATGTTCGACCTACAGAAAAAGCGAAATGTCCCTTTAAAGTACAAAAATGTCATCTATTAAAAAAAATATAATCTTTTAAAGCACAATAGAAGACGTATAACGTAACCTTCTTGGGTATACTTCAATTATTATTTAGGTCAATGTACGATTTATAATATACAGGTTGAGCTTATAAAGCTTATAAATCAATTAAATTGTACGTTATGCAGGTTTTCTATAAAGATCCGCAGATCATATTTCAAGATCTTGCTGACATAGGCGTATGAACTGGTAAAGGATATGTGAGTCTATGAATATGTCATATAGGGTGTTATGACATTAGAGCATTCACCTATCCACAACCCAAACTGAAATAGATATAGGTATTTATTTAAGTTTCTCTCACAGTATTTCATATATTTGTTGCCTCCATCTGTTTGTACCAGCCTGCCTGATTTCAGCAAATAGCTCAAAAGCTTAGTATCAAACATTTCCCTTATCAATTTGGTCACCTCGTTGACTGTCATTGTTCATTATATTTCAAAGTATTTCCTTTCCTCTGAGATATTGAAAATTATCATCTATTGAAATTTTGTATGATGACTCTCGGAGAAATGGTTCTCAGCTTCAATGCAATTGGCTGCTGTCATACCCCTCAAGAAATAGAGTGAGGTACAGGCAGAGGGAGGCTGCACACAATATTAAATACTTAGAGAGAAACTTAAAAGGACAGTATTAGTTGAACCTTCAGAATACGTAGGAAACACATTTCTCTAAGTTAAAAAACACTCGATATATCATTTTTATACTTTACTCACCGAATTAAAATAAAAGAAATTTTCCTTCTTTATTCAAAGAAATATTCTTTGAAATTGCAAGGCTCCTCCTCCCATACCTAAAGATCTTCTGACAATTAAAAAAAATAGGCCAATGCCACTTTCCTGGCAAAATTTCCTTAACTTCATTTCCCGTCTTTATTAGCTGAGGGATCCCACCTGGACAATTCTGTGACTCTTATTTCCCCGCTCTCCTAACAACTTAGTGTTTTATAGAAACACCACTGACAGGAAGTCAAATTTCAAAATACATTATTAGAACCTTGCATATTGTATAAAAGGACATCTTTTATCATTTAACATAGAGTAGGGAAGACTGAAACTTAAAATTTTCCAAGTCTCAATCATGACCTTGAATAGGTCATCTTTCCTCATTACTCCAGTCGACACAGATGAGACTGATTTCATAGGAAAGTTCAGTGCCAAGAGTTTTGGCCGAGGACCATCTGATAGACTGAACCTAATTTGTAAAAATCATTGGTTTTTTTTTTCTTTTTCACATCAACGATAGCTAAAAATACCCCGTATTGTAATTCACGGGAGATAACTATTATTAATGTCGTTAACATTGGCTGGACTCACTCCACTAAAACATTTTATGCAAATGAAATGTAGTCCAGGCTATTTTTAGAAATCTTCTTTCTCTCTCCCTTTTGGGGTTTTTGCCTGCCTATTTTTAGGTAAAATTTGGTCTAGATTTGGAATTTGATGTCTGAAATTGCATTATCTTTCAGATTTGCTGAGATGATGAGAGACTTAAAGGCGGAAGGCTAATTCTGAAAATAGTCGTTTTGTGAAGTGCCAAACTCAGCGGATGAGTATAACCGGTAGTAGTCTACTTTCAATTTTAGTAGCTCAAAATTTTCATGGTCATCATATAATGAATTTTTTAGGAGACATTGAGAATTGGTCAGGCTTTCATTCGACATGTTGGAAAGCTTTCAACGAGATTTCTGGAAAAAGTTATAGAAGGTTGAATTTCGTGTTTTAACATGGGAAGAGATGGCAAATGAATTAGTGGAGTGAGTCCGGCTTACTGTTGTACTAACTGTAACAATTTTTGTCCGTAGGAAATGTGTAGTGTTATTATATAGTTATTTATGAGCTTTTAAGTTATATTGCAATCCCCGACCCATTGATGCCGCGCAGCCAGTCGATAATTCAGTATGTGAGTCGACACCTTTATCTCACATGAAGATTATTAAGGCTTGTGGCCCGTCTTGCCCGACCCCATTTCTTGCTTGAGATCAACATGTATCCTGTTATCCTGTCTTCACCACGACATACCTGGTCAGAACTACCCGTTATTATTCTAAAGACGTTAAATACATGTCTCATTAACACGTTTCTTATCTGAGAAAATTGGTGTGTCTTTTCAGACGAACATCCCCGAATATCATCACCAAGGTGTATCTTGTAAGAACTACCAGTGGCCCATTAACGTTTCAATCAAGACGTATCCTATCGGAGAAAATTGGTGTGTCTTTTCAGAAGAATATCCCCTAACATCATCACCAAGGTGTGTCTTATCGGAACTACCATAGGTCCATTAACGTTTCAATCAAAACGTATCCATGCTAAGAAATTTGTGTTTTGACAGAGGGGCTTTCGCTAACGTGATCACCAATACGTGTATTGTCATACTATTGACAACGAAATAATTTTTTTCATTTTCTTACAATCTTTTCTTCTTGAAATTGATCCTAACCAAGAATCCTTTTTTATCACCATCTCAATCTTGTCAGATCTACCCCATGGGCTACTATTCCCAAGACATGTCTTCGTGACGACATACTTAGTATTATGTTGGCTTTGGCTCAACTAGATAATTGGGGCCTGCGGATTGGTGTTCCTCCCTCCATCACTCTGAGACCCCTCTATAAGTCAATTTAATTCTTGTTGATGGAAGATTTTCAGGCTGTAGTTAATGCTTATTTCACTTTTTTTTTATATATTGCTGGTTGCTAAGTTGGATAATAATTTTATTCATTAGTACATTCTTTAGTATTTAGGAGTAGGGGTCCAAGACTTTAGTTCAACTAGTCCCTAAGGTAGTTGAGTCAGGTTTGTGGGCAATTAGGAAATTTTTTGGAGCATGAAGATATTTTATTGTGTTATAATTGATGAAATATTGATTGAAAATGAACAGTCAGAGAAAAATATAAAGAGCAACAAAGAATAAAAACAGTTTTGAACACGTCACTATAGTAACATAAATTTTTAAAATGTTTTTGAAGCAGAGCTGCGATGATATTCTACACGTAACGACTATCACATTCATGGGAAAAATCTTTCTTCTTCTTTCCTTCTTAACGTCCTGCAAATAGATCATGACACATTTCATATACGGAAAGGCAAAATTACAAATAGACAAATTACCAAAAGCAGTAAGCAAGAATTTTCATTACTAAAAACATAAATTATACGTGAAAAGATTTCGAAAATATTTTTGTATCTACGTGACCAACCTGAATTTTTGGTTTGAAAATGGTTGATTGTATATTTCTCTTCAATTTGTTTTGCTTACATAGTTCATTTGTTTCCGAACACAAACCAAAAACAAAGCGACTTTTAAAGGTTTACGTAAAACTTTTAAAAAGTTATATCATAAGGATTAACTTCAAATTATACTTTTATTTAAAGCATTCACATTAGGTAAGCGACACATTTTTTTTAAGTTTTTGCTCTATTTGAGCACCAGCTCTTCCAGCCCTCTTGTAAAATCAGACTGTACCTTTGATCAACATATCAAGAACAAGTTTACAACACGCATGAATAATTTACATCATCTTTGCTTTGTACTATTCTATAATTCTTCGCCGCTTTAAAGAACTGAAGCTCTTTATGTCGTTGAATTTTGAAAAAAAATTCTTCTTCCTTTTATTAGAGATTCTTCTTTGAATTTCTCATTAAAATTGTAAAAGGCATGACGTGATTGGCATTCTAGATTGGACTCTATGGTTGCTTTTTATTTATATTATTTACATCGTTTCTTATATAGCATGTCATACAATACCGAGTTTCATTATCCGAGAAAAAAGGAAAGTTGTAAAGGATGAGTAAGTGTCGAGTTTATTTATAACAAACAACATCAATACGATTTCCTGATAAGATACATTAAGGATGTTTGTGAATTGGTTACAAAATGGAAAGGGTACAGTACAGTACACTGTACTCTGGCCACTAGGTAAATTGGTCATAAGATAAAAAAGTCATAAGATAAAATAAGTCCAAAGGTAAATTAATCCCAGTAAGTTGGTCACAGTGGTTTGGTCACAAGGTTAATTGGTCACAGGTAATCTGGTAAAAGTAATTTTCTTACGAGGTCATTAGGGCACAGTAGGTTGGTCCAAGGTAAAATAGTCAGAAGGTAAATATGTCAGAAGGTAAATTGGTCAGAAGATATATTGGTCAACTCTATTTGATCCCAATTGAACACTGTAAAATGATCACAAGGTAAACTGAACACCGTTCTCTGATCCCACGGTAAATTGGTCACACGGTACTTTGGTCACATTTGTTCACAATATTTTGGTCACAATAGGACACAAGGTATAATGGTCACTGTTTTTTGGTTAAAAAAAATCATCGTCGAAATAATTTAGCCACAATACAATTTGGACACAGTAATATGGTTATAGAAATATAAATTTCTATAATAAAATTTCATCACCCTAACATTAAAACATGGTGTTTTATTGGTAATTTTGGTAACAGGATTTCCATAGTCTGTCGCCTAACTACTGTAAATCACTAGTCTTCTGCTTCTGAACATGAGACATATTTATAGTTCCGATTAACCGTAACTTCCGGTTATTTTTCTTTCTTTCCCTTACTCACCCACGTGACTTTATATCATAATTAGATTTTCTATGAAAAACAACGGTCGAAATGAAATTAGTAAATTTCTGACCCTAACTCGTTAAGGGCTAATCGTGTTAACCCTCTATAATTCGAGTCTCTGGGTTAAGTTTCATTGGAACATGATTGTTTATTAACCCTCTACGGAAAACCAGAACGCAATTAGACAACGCATATAGTTAGATTTGCAGGGAAGTAAATTAACTATTTACAATTGGAGGTGTTGATTTGATTACAAGCCAGTTCGAAACATACTTTATAGTGTTTCTTACTACAACTTTTACACAGTCGAAAAACTGTACATATTTCAAAAATTAATATTTAATTTCATTAGTAATATATTTAAAGACTGCCCTAATGTTGAACCGTTCTAATTGAATTTCACTTTTTATTCATAACAACGTTTTTTGACTGTATACACTTTGTATTTTGTATTTATATGGAAGAAAAGAAAAATGTGGTGCCAAATGCTACAAAATGTTTCATTCACTATGCTTTCGATTTGAACCATTCGAGGTAATTTTGGGACTAAGACATACCTGCTGAGATATGTTTTACCTTATCAGAGAAATGGGTTATATTTGGTTCCCATCATTTCGTTGAAATTGGATAAATTAGGGCCTAAGGCATACCTGAACGGAGACATGGGTAAGGTACCACAGCGTTATATTTGGTTCTCCTCATGCAAATACCCATATACTTCATTCTTTTAACTACGGCTTTCTGGTCATGAATCGTAAACAGTTCAGGGTTAATTTTACCATCTTCAGCCAACTGAAAGGTAAAAATTCAATTTTGTCTTAATGTCTTATTACCTAGTGCTAACCTGGAGGTACAAACGGATATCACAAAAGGTATAGCTTATATCGCCACAATGTGAAGCTATTATTAACTTATACCATGACATCACTGGTCACTTTTTATTGTCATAAAAGTTTGTAAATGCAACCCTTTGGTTGTACGCTAGCAAATACAACAAATCAGAGATGCTGACACAATATGTGCAGCCATATTGCTTCTGTTAAGGGCTCTCATTGGCTATACGAACAATCCAATCGAATTGTTGCTGTTACAAAAGTTTGTGCTACAAAAGTGCACACAATGTCATTAGTTCGTAATAGCTTGACATTTGAATATTGGGTTAACTCAAACTCAAAATGGCAATATTCAGCTTCAAAATGAGAATATTCGGCTTCAAAATGAAAATATTCAGCTTCAAAATGAAAACATTCAGCTTCAAAATGAAAACATTCAGCTTCAACATGAAAACATTCAGCTTCAACATGAGAATATTCAGCTTCAAAATGAGAATATTCAGCTTCAAAATGAGAATATTCAGCTTCAAAATGAGAATATTCGGCTTCAAAATGAAAACATTCAGCTTCAAAATGAAAACATTCAGCTTCAAAATGAAAACATTCAGCTTCAACATGAAAACATTCAGCTTCAACATGAGAATATTCAGCTTCAAAATGAGAATATTCAGCTTCAAGATGAGACTATTCAGCTTCAAGATGAGACTATTCAGCTTCAAAATGAAAACATTCAGCTTCAAAATGAGAATATTCAGCTTCAAAATGAGAATATTCAGCTTCAAAATGAGAATATTCAGCTTCAAAATGAGAATATTCAGCTTCAAAATGAGAATATTCAGCTTCAAGATGAGAATATTCAGCTTCAAAATGAGAATATTCAGCTTCAAAATGAGAATATTCAGCTTCAAAATGAAAACATTCAGCTTCAAAATGAAAACATTCAGCTTCAAAATGAAAACATTCAGCTTCAAAATGAGAATATTCACCTCTAAAATGAAAACATTCAGCCTCAAAATGCGTATCTATCAATTTATTTCAAAACCTACCTCTTGAAGAACAATATATACCATATCTTTCAATACTGACAATTCTTCTCGTGTATCCATGTATTTTGGTCTTTTATCCAAATCCTGGAAGAATATGATAAAAAAACTAAAAATACTTTTTCTCTTAACTATAATATTCTCTTTGCTTTATATTAATTGTAACTCAATATGAAAATAAAAATTGACACATGGTAGTAAACTTTATTATATTAGCTCCTAATATAGTTCTTACACAATCATTTCAAGATATTAGCTCTATAAAAATATAAGCTCCGTTATGTGAAAATGTCAGTTATATACAATTAGTGCATGTATGACAATATGGTAGTTACATGAAAATGTCAGGTATCAAAATGTTAGGATTTAAATCGATAGCTATGTCAACTCTATAAAGATATCACAGCATTATAAAAAAATATATTAGCTCTATTTTGTGTGTTATGTAAAATGTCAGTTATGCAAATAGTTGTCATAAGAATATTAGCTCTTTTACAAAGGAAGCTCTATTAAAATAATATATTAGCTCTATTTTGTGAATTATATAAAATGTCAGTTATGGAAATAGTTGTTGCAAAAATATTAGCTCTATTGAAATATTAGCTCTATTAAAATATTAGCTCTATTGAAATATTAGCTCTATTAAAATATTTTGTGAGTTATATGAAATGTCAGATAAGAAAATAGTTGTTATAGAAATGTTATCTCTATTAGAATATTAAAAAATTTGCTCTATTAAAATATTTGCTCTATTAAAATATTTGCTCTATTAAAATATTTGCTCTATTTTGTGAGTTATATGAAATGTGCATGAGTTAATAAAATAGTTAGCTCTATTAAAACATTAGCTCTATTGAAATATTATCTCTATAAAGATATTAGCTCTATTAAAACATTAGCTCTATTAAAATATTATCTCTATAAAGATATTAGCTCTATTAAAACATTAGCTCTATTAAATATTATCTCTATAAAGATATTAGCTCTATTAAAACATTAGCTCTATTAAAATATCTCTATAAAGATATTAACTCTATTAAAACATTAGCTCTATTAAAATATCTCTATAAAGATATTAACTCTATTAAAACATTAGCTCTATTAAAATATCTCTATAAAGATATTAACTCTATTAAAACGTTAGCTCTATCAAAATATTATCTCTATAAAGATATTAACTCTATTAAAACGTTAGCTCTATTAAAATATTAGCTCTATTGAAATATTAGCTCTATTGAAATATTATCTCTATAAAGATATTAGCTCTATTTTGTAAGTAATATAAGATGTCAGTTAAGAAAATGATGAAAAATGACAGCTCTATAAAATCTATAGAAGTATAAGAAATAATGACGGTGTGAAATGGTGTGTGATGAGAAAAAAATGAATTCCCCAGATTCAGAGTATTTAGTATTGTTTGTTGGGTTAATCAATTCATCCAAGTGCAAATTAAATAATGAATGCTCCGATGACATTATTCTAGAAAGAATGTTTTGTCCGTTCTGTCCCAAGTGTAACGTTCTACTATTTAAGTTAACGCCTTAACACTTTGGATAATAAAACAAAAAAAATTGTTTGACACTATAGATGCTGTAGCCATAACAAAGGTTTTGTTTTTTGAAAAGAACTAAAATTAAGTTTGCACTGAAATGCTCATGTGTTATTTTCTTTCTATTATGAAGTTATAAACAGTTTATGGGTATAAGGTATTCTTCGTCGTTTTTCTGATATTGTATGAGAAGTGTGATGTAATTTTCATGGTTCCGTCGAACAGTGGTAGTCGCGGATTGTAATCTCTCTCGTCGTGTAAATGTCTGGTAACCTTTATTAAGTCATTTTCTCATGTTCTCAATAGATCCCCGGTTCCCAACCTGGAGTATTTTAACCCCCTGGGGCATGGGACTAGTGTGTCAGGGGTGTGGCCAACTGGTGTAGGAGAAGAATTTATTTTGAATTGAGAGAGCACCTAACATCATCACATGCTGGAAATGTGGATGAAACAAATTTTTGGGGGTGTGAAAGGTCCAGGTGATTGCTCCAGGGGTATTAAATCTGAAAAAGGTTGGGAACCACTGCAATAGATAGACAAGACCGTTGTTTACTTAATCTTAATATATCTATGTAAGACGGTGAATTTTAATTAATCAAGACCTATTTCATCAATAAAGTGATTTCTCGGACACCCACGAACCCCACAAGTTATTTTGAAACCTTACCGTAAGAATAAGTATATATTATAATAGTGTTGATTGGACGGTTAGAAAATCACTTTTTCATCATGAATATGTATTACGTGGTCAATGATACGAGATTTATATGCCATAGTTAAACACGTTAGACAATTGTAATAGTTTCAAACGTGTTGAAGAAACGATGTGTCCCCAGTCGCCTATAACGAATATAACGTCATCCTAAAAGGCATAGATAAACAATTCCTTACAATCGATCGTCTGTTGCATAATGTGATCTGTTATGCATAACTACTAGTGAAGAACTGGCTTATTTCTTAGAACAGAACAGTTATTAGAACAGAACAGATCTAACAAAATATTCATATTACTCATATTACTGTTCTCCAATCATAAAGGCTGATATGAGTATTTGCGTTGATAAGTCATACCTCCAAGAATTATTTTTTGTTAAATTCTACTGACTTTAAATTGGTTAGTTTCTTTTATTTTAAAGAAAAACCGTAGAAATTAACTTTTGAGCTTTTTCGAATGTTTTCTTGAATTTGTTTGTGATTTACGGTGCTTAGTCACACCATTAACAATGATTATTTCCGGATTCCAACAATTTAAGCTTCTTTTTAGGAAGTTTCCGGATAATTGAACAATTTAGATCGACTTGTCACGATTCGAATATTGTATTTCCTTATCTAATATGATCATTTACACGGATGGAAACATTGTTTGTGACAAAAAAACAAAACAAATCAGATTTTGTTTGATAATATATGGATATCACTGACCACTCATGATAAGGTACAGTAGAAATTAAATGAAATGGAATTTAACACCCTTCTGTCCTGAATTAGGCATCTAAAGACCGCTCATGCAGTGTTTAATGTGGGCAGTATTGTGTTAGGCAACTGTCGGGCCTCAGTTTAATGTCTCATCTGAATGACGTTTTTACATGTCGACCACTAAGAATTGTAAAAACGGGATTTAATGTATATTTTGACTGGTATTGAACCCCGGACCTTCCGGATAGCGAGCAAGCGTCTAACTCACTGCGCCATTGGAATTCCTTCATTATAGTTAGGTGGAAACAACTTCTTATTCGTTTATCTAAAAAAAAAAGAAAAGAATTTTCACTTAATCTAATTTTTACTGCTGAAAGAAAACACTATTTGAATTCTTTTTTACGGAAATTTAAGAGGGCCTGCATTTCTTTAAATGTGTAATACTTTTTTTCAAATCCTTCAAAATGGAATTCAAATTCGGTTTTTTAACAAGTGCCAATTACTACCCTACTTGATGTAGTAATAGACATGTCACATCGAGTTATTCCACTAATTTATCAATTAACGTTAAGGATTTAAAAACAGCAATCTTATTAAGTGCTTTAGTGCAACCTATTATGTTAAATTTAGAAACGTAAGACTAAAGACAGTAGCTATAACGTTATTAAGAATAACCACTCGATTCCAATGGAAGCTCACTCGACGTTCTAGAAAGTGTCTCTTGAAGTTTTTTACAAAATAAAAGTCCAACTTTTCTATACCTGTTTGAACTAAAGACGCCTGAGAGGGACATTTTGCCAGAACAGTTGCATAAGCCTACTCTTTTTTCGATTTCCAACTGCCGATGGATCTAACGTGCACAACCTGTAGCACACTAGGCGTTGGTTTATTGTCCCATCCGAACGACTAAATGCTTTTTTCCATGTAAGCCCCTCAGACCTGCATCATTGACAAGGGGAAATTGAATTGAAAAATTCAAAAGTAGTATCTCGACCTATGACCGAATTGAATATTGGATACTGAGCAAGCAAATTTTCCAATCAACTCTATTTCAATTTCCTTCATTTCATATAATTTCCAATAATTGCTCATGTATCCACAAAATTTAGGCTTATGTCGTCTAATTTGGGATAGAATGTATCTTTAACTGTTAAAGTGTGATAAAAGATAATACAACTAGATTGATTTTAGTTTCATTAAGGGAAATTGGAACAATTAAAACACCCTGAAGCAGACGAATCAATGGGGCTAATTATCAGACTCTCGATTTAGTGCTCCATGTTGAATATTTTATATACTGCTAATATCATTATGGTATTTTATTGGAAGATCTAGTCGAATACGATAATGAAAAAAATATACATATCTATAATACAATCATGATTACTTGTATATTATATATCAAATGATTAGCAGTATAAACCAGGGGCAGACTAACAGATTTGAGATTTCAGAAGGTTCATGTTTGATATTTACATAGGCGTAGAGGTACGCTCACCATAGCGATTACCAGATACGTATGGTTGTGAAAAATGCAAGTGGCCATGAGTTCCGGGCAAAACTCACAACTCGGTTGGGTTAGGGTTAGAAATGAAATGAAGTTTTACGTCCTACTTTTCTGCACCATGTGGACTAATGAAGACTGTAAGTTGCATGAGAGTTGCTTTCGAAACTTATGACCACAGCTGGTGATCGCTTAGACCGACAAGTTGACTCTAAATAATACTAAGTATTTGAGAGACAGGTCACCAAGTAGATAATATCATGTCTTAGTGGATTTAGACCTTTGAAAACAGTAAATTTTGTAAAGTATAAGATAATTATGGAATGAGATGTATTTACAACAACTTGACATTATGTACTTGTGTACAAATTAGATTTTTACTCAAACTACGTCGCCAATCTTTATAAAATTTGTTGAGTCCAAGACGTCGTCGTATAATGAAATTCATGTCTTTTGATTAGTTCATATTTTCAATTACAATATGTCTTTTATAAGATGGCGACCATCTTCGAAATAGCCCCACGCTTGGATATTTTAACTTTTATTAGAGATAACAATTAGTAGTTTATTCTGTCGAAGAAAAGGATGGAATGGAGATGACCTCATTACATACAA